GAGGGGACCTGCTTTTATATCAGATCTACTCTCTGTGATCCCAAATGCACACTATTTCAAGAGAGGAACCTATGATCTTAAAAAGGTTTTAATATTAATTTCTGTTAATTCCTTTTTTTTTCAAAAAACTACAAAATAGTTTTTATTTTGGCATATTTTGCCTATGCAGATTGTAGAATATGCAGAAAATAAGGAATTCACTTCTGTTATCGTTGTCCACACTAATCGCCGGGAACCAGGTTAAATTATGCAGCCTTTATCTAGCATTTGCACACAACCATTGCCTCTGGCCTTTTTTCTCTCTTCATGAGTTAATGTAGAATACTAATGATGGAATCTTCTTTTAGATGCTTTATTGATAATTGCATTACCTGATGGACCTACTGCCCATTTCAAATTATCAAAGCTGCTTCTGCGCAAGGATATTAAGGTTTGTTGGTCCTCCGTCTTCTTTTTCAGAATCTTGTCTAAGCTGCTAAGCTTTTTAATTAGGAATGATTTTCCCTTAAGAGAAGAAGCTATATTAGTTTGATAAGGGTGCTGAATGTTGTCATGGTTTTACGTTGCACTCTAGTACTCATGATGATTTTAGTATTGCAATTTCTGATGGTCCTTTAGTTAGATACCTATCCCCAAAGTGTTCCTTTGATAGCTTTGTTTCAGTATCCTGCTATTCCTTCCTCAATATTTTCCCTCATTCTCAATAGTGTAATTTTAATTATCATGTGCTTTCTTCTGTGTGTGTTTTCTTGAAATGGCTGTTGTTTTCATGGATATCTGGGTCTGTTTATGTGTATGTGTATTCCATACTTAGGTGTTGCATGTTGGATTTTGGATGTCTTGTAGTTCCAGATAGATGATGATGCTTTACTCTCCTTCACTTGCAGAATCATGGGAATCCAACTAGTCACAAGCCTGAGCTAGTCTTGAATAACTTCACAACACGCTTGGGACATCGTATCGGGAGGTGACTTCTTGTTTTATATGTGATTTTTTCAAGAGAGTTACAGGAAATTGGATGTGTGTTTAAAACATTGATTATATTTAGTGTGGTGGCACAGTTAATTTATGTTGTTTTCTCTGGATTTGCACAGATCATCTCTCTCTCTCTCTCTCTCGCCTGTATGTGTTTGTGAATGTCTTGTACTCTTAAACCTAGAATATTTATGAAGTATTTTGCTAGATAATTTCTGTCTCGTGCACTTTAAGATCTCTCTCTCTCTCTCTCTCTCCTGTATGTGTTTGTGAATGTCATGTACTCTTAAACCTAGAATATTTATGAAGTATTTTGCTAGATAATTTCTGTCTCGTGCACTTTAAGATCTCTCTCTCTCTCTCTCTCTCCTGTATGTGTTTGTGAATGTCATGTACTCTTAAACCTAGAATATTTATGAAGTATTTTGCTAGATAATTTCTGTCTCGTGCACTTTAGGATCTATATTTTTGTTTATGACTCTTTCTATGCATTATTTTGGTTAATAGGTTGATACAATCGCTTTTCCCACAAGATCCTAATTTTCATGGTCGTCGAGTTGTAACGTTTCACAATCAACGTGATTTTGTATTCTTTCGCCATCACCGGTGTGTGTTCTTTCTTTTAAGGAGTTTGTTCTATTCCACATATTGATCTTAGACTTGTAATAAAGCTTTGTGATGGCAACCTTATCTTTTGAATGTGAAGTTACATTTTTGAAACCAAAGAAAGTAAGCAGGCTGCATCCAGTGGCAAAAAGAGCAAGGATAATAACGATGAGAAAAGCGAGCAGAAACTTATTGCACGACTTCAGGTTTGTGTTTCTGATTTAGTTCATTCTTGTCTTGAGATGTATATTCTTTCTTTTGTGATAAGTACTTCTAGCACATTTAGAATTCAAGAATAAGTTTTAGTTTTGTTAAAAATGCTATTTGTCCTAATCCCAAGATAAGGGGAATTAATTTGTTGCTGTTTTAAGGAGACTAAGCCTTAAAATGGCAATTAGTAATGCACTTGGATCTGCACAAATTTGCCTGCAAGGAACTCTATAGTAAGTTTGAATCTTCCCATGAATGGCCTTGTCCTCATATTTGGCATCTGCAGCACCCTTAGTTTCGGTATATGAAGATGCACATCATACAGGCCATGTTTTGACCGGAATGTCTATTGTTAACTGGTAATTGAGTCAATGCCAGTCATACATGTTTCTTTGGGTTAACTGGTTAAGGAATGGAGAAAACCCCTCTTGACACTTCTATAGCCCCTTATAATATTCCTGTCATACAGGTCTTTTATGCTTTAGCATTTTTCGTCTTTCTTTTTAATTGCTGTTTATACTGATGGCCAATTCTTTTCATGCTTTACGGCAGTTCTTTTTAAGGTTTGGAATCGATTTAGTGGCTGAAAAAAAACTCACATTCATATTATCCACTTAAAAAATGTAGAGAAGGATAAGAAACAAGGGGCAAAAAAATGCAACATGAAAGGAAATAGCTATCTGAGTCAGAATATGAATTAGAAACTTTACCTAGTAAAGCTGAAACTACACCAAGAACTTGGCTTCTAGCTGGTCTGGTAAGTGTATGTGCTATAGAGATCTGAACATTCGTGAACAATGCTTAAAATTTCCTTCCAGTTTGTTTTAACTGTTCATCAAAGAAATATTTATTACTACAAAACAACAACACATAAAAGGCAAAACAGAAGCAGAGAAAGAGACTATTGGTAATCTGTTTGTTTGACTTTCATATGTTATCTGTTTTTTCCACCTATTGATTTTCTTATTGCAAGAGAACTCTCCTCGTGAAGTCGAATACTTTGAAGATATGAAGTATATATAGTATGAAGAGGGCAGAAAGCAAAGTTTGAGTCTGTGTAATGATGCAAAACTGTCACTTCCCTTGCTGGGAGGGAGTTGATATGGAATTACATACGTGTTTTAAATTGATCTAAGTTTCTCATGAGATCAAAAATCTTTTTGAGGAAAATTTCATGATTTCTTGTCTATGAGCTTGAAAACCTATGGACAGTGATGAGTTTTTTCTCATTACCAAAAAGAGAAAAAAAAAGTGACGAGTTTTCCAACAAGATAAAGCTGTTTGAATGATGCTATTCAACTTCTTTTAATGAGAGTTAATGAGATGGAGCTTGATGCTATTGTTATCTTATTCAGATGTCTGCATTTGCCTCCAAATGCCAGCTTTTTAGGGTAGTTAATCGGCAAACTTTGCAAAAAAACAAAAAGTGGATTGTTGTGCCTGACTATTTTAAGTTTATTATTATATGTGTTTGCCATTGAAGTTTTTAGGAAAAAAGTTTTACAGCTGCCAGGTATTGTGTTAATGTTGATAGTCCTCATGTAGTTCACTTAATATATTCTCTGCCTATGATGCCTTTTGTAACATCAGATGGAAATCTTGCAGGAATGCGGTCCTCGTTTCACATTAAAGTTAATCAGTCTGCAACATGGAACATTTGATTCAAAGGGTGGGGAATATGAGTGGGTTCACAAGGTGATTCCCGCTTATTTTTTATTCTGCAATAATGCTTGATTTAGCTATAGGTCTTCATTACTTGTACAGATATTTATCTTTTTTGCCTGCATTGAGCTAATTCATTTTTCTGCTCTGCTTTGTTTATCTTTTGAATACCAGCCGGAAATGGATACTAGTCGCAGAAGATTTTTCTTGTGAGAGAAATGTTGTCCTACTGGGTAAATAGGTTTTAGTTTCAGGTTAAGAACAAGTTAAAAGTGTAGCTTCCTGTGAGGATCTGTGAGCTTAGGTCTTATTAGATCTCCAGCTCAGGTTAGGTATGAGATATTGAGTTTACAAATTGTGTATCCACATTGGTTATTTATCAGCTCTAATGCAAGTTTTGGAGATTTTCAGCTTGGTGCTGGCAGTCCTTTTTGTCGTGTAGAAATGTTTTATCCTCCCCCCCCCCTACCCCCCCAACACCCACGTCTTCCAACAAAAAAAATCCCCCCTCGTGGGACAAGTAGGGGAAGCTTCGTAAAAGGGCTTGTTTAGGCAAAACCACGAGAAGGTTGGCTATTGTGACCGTGTCGATCTTTGAATGCATTGATTGTACTGATTTTAGTTAAATTCTATGTTTATCAGCTCCAACTCAAATGCTTGGAGATTTTGAGTTGGTCCAGGCAGTCTTGTTTGTTTTGGCCTTTTGGGTGGCTAGTGATTTTAGGCGTAGACTTGTTTTTTTATTTATTTTGGACGGATAAGGAAATCTCTTGGTGGGGACTTGGTACATGAAACCATGGGAAGGCTGGCGAATAGAAATGGGTCAATTGCAGTGAAAAATTTGTCGTACTTCAACCGCAAATGAGTAGCTTTCTGTGTTTGGGCTGAAGTACTGAAGATTTATCTTGAACTCTTATATGTGGTTGCTCAATTATTGGTTGAACTATCCATCATAAGTTGTTGGTTTTGATTGTCTTGGTAATATTTTTTTCACTTCATTAAAGGTTCTTTGCATGGAAACATAGAGGGCCTTTACAAAGAAATCCTAGATGGAAACCACATTAAACGCGGGAAGAATAAAAAGGATGAAGCAAACTAACATCAGCAGTTCCTTATTCTGGGGCCTAAGGCTTGGCAACTAGATGACAGGGCTGTTATGATTAGTATTGTACTGCCAACCAAATTTTGGTTAATATTGCAAAAGAATTTAAGCATTCGTACCAACCCGGGTTCGGTCAAAAATAAAAAAGAATGGTAAAAAGATTTCTTAACGATCTAAAAGAAATTATTTAACAGGTTTAACAGCATGTGAATCATAAAAAATAAATAGATGAAGTGAACAAATACTTGAACTCCATTTCGTTCGAAATTCTTTCCAACTAGACAAAGGGATTGAAGTGTAAATTATTTATTTCTTTTTATGTAGAAGACTTTTTAGTTTTTGAGATGCTTATAATCTTGTTACCAATTTGTTTTATCAATACAAGTGAAATGTACAGTCAACCGGTAACATCTTACATACCTTGAAAACTTTCCAACATCTAAAATTTGTTCAATGGAATAGAAATCATGTTTACTTTATAGAGTTTTAGAAAGACACAAATGTTACATTATTTTAGATGTAAACAATTTTCCAAGGAGTATCAACATCTTAACTCTCCTATCCTATCTTTTACCCTGCCACCTAAATTTCCACTTAGAAATCAGTTATTGCTTACTAAACTGAATGTAGCTAAGAAACTATTTACGTCAGAAGGGAAAAAATGAGAAGAGGAAGGCGGTGCAAAAGCATGACCAGACTCTGTAATTTGTACATGGGTATGTTATTTAGTGTCCTTGTATAGCTTGGCAGTTGAGCTTAGGACGACAAAGAAGACTGGGATGGTGCAGCTGAAGCCTTGCAAATGGGACACCAATTCTTCAACCGTAACCACTGGTGTATACATACCAAGTGATAACCATGTTCACATCCCAGCTTCCCAATTTCATCACCAGCTACATACTCTTCCTGCAAAGTAGGTGCTTTTCATCAATGTTTGAGTGTGCATGGAAAGAATTCAAGTATAACTGGCAAATCAGTTTCTCCAATTAGAGAAAATCATCCACCATAGGAAAACATGGATGAGGTGTCAGAAATTCTGCAAGCATTCAAATAGGGCCTAATTCTAAACCAGGAAACTTGTAGCATTATCAAATTTGTTGCAAGCTACTAATGCATCATTGTTGGAACAAACGAGAATCATGCATCACAGAGTCAACTGGTTTCCCGCAGTTCCAATCTCTATAAATTATACATAATTTTGCACAAGCAAATTGATGCAGCTGAAACAAAAGGCTCATCATCATCATCAGCTAAGTTGAATTTGAAGCAAAACCGACTGAGGTTCAGCCAGAAGAGACACAGGCAAACATGCACACACATTTAAGTCTTCACAATAAACGTTCTCTTTATTCATCTTCGGCCTTCCTTTCTTTTCTTCCTTTTTTTTTCAAGAGGGGGGGGGGGGGGGGGGAGGGATGGGGGTTCTGCATACAGCAGATTTATATTCTGGTCCGTTTTTTAGGGAATTCATTTTTCAAAAAAAAAAAAAAAAAAAAAACCTACTTCCACTGGAGCTCTTTTAGAAATACTGGCCAACATTGCCAACTTAATCCAAGCTTACCTCAAAATCTCTCATCTAGGATGACCACTGATGGTAATTCTATGCTACAGTTAGGCTGCTTCTATCTTGAGGGCCAAAAACTTTTTTAACAGTAACTACTCAAAGCACATCCAAACAAAAGCGTTATTTCAAGAGCATATATTTGGTAATGAGGACACCACCTGGCAAATACTGCATCTAATATCAGCTTCATCCTCACTACATCCAGCAGCCCCAACATCTGCCGTAGCAGTCTGGTATATGCTTTTCGTGATGCATTTAGCAAATGCCTCTTCTGAGAGTGCTGTGCTCACAGTACCCATCCTCTCCTCTAAAGCAAGTAATTCCTGTCAAAAAGGAGTACAAAAACAGTCAAGAAGTACAAAAAGAGGGCATTGTACATCAGCGGCACCAATTTATAGCCAAGAAACAAATAAGAAAACTTTCGTGATTAACAAAAAAATGCTGATTTAAAAGACAATTGTTATAAATTCAAGTTAGTACAATCTGGTTAGCCAGAAAAGGAATAAAAAGTAGTTAGAACAATATTGTACTTAGTGATTCCAATCTATTGCATCTTATGATAACCTACCTCATACGACATGTTATCAATGTCTAATCTCATATCTCTGTGCTGGTCGTAGAAGTTAAGGTGGCCAAGAAATAAATCGTTCTCCAAAGCAAGTAATTCCTGAGTCAAAATGGATAAGAAGTAAAGTCAACATACAAGTGCCAATCTGCACAAATCATAAAGTTGCCAAAGATTGAGTACCTCATACTCTTCATCTTGTCCAATTCTCTCAAGAGCTAGTAGTACCTGCGCCAGAATGAAATAATACAATTTACTAAAAATTGCCAAGGCAAGATCAAGAAAACAGAACTGGAGTATTGAGTTCTCTGTTAAGCACAAAAGAAACAAAGGAGTGTGCTTCTTCGGATGAACCAGAGAAGTACCTCAGCAACTCCATTCAGGTTACGTCGCCACAAAGCATGAGTAATACCATGTTCTGTGGGCGTCAAGGACATTATACCAGTTCTCGCAGATAGTCTACAGGAGCTTGAAGCATTTGAAGAACCTTCCATGGAAGATTGATAAGATAAACTATGTAAATTAGCACTATTAGGAGTTTCAGGTCTAGATAATTGTGCAATACCGCTACTGGATTCACTGGTTAATAAAGCATTTCTGTTGTCAAGATTTGAAAGCCCAATCCTAGTATTTGAGTTCAATGCCTTCCGAGTCCTCAGAGGTGCAGTGTGAGAATCACTATTTGAAACCCAGCTTCTACCATGTCTTGAGCCAGTGACAGAGATTCCTGTATTGAAGGCGGAGACATGTCCATCTTCAGAACGAGCCATGCTACCTCTTCTTCCTGAAGAAGATGTACTACTTTGTGCTTCAGGACTTCTTTTTCTTAAAACATCCCTCTTAACCTTAGATTCTGAGGCTGAACCACCTCGTGGGATAACATCAGATATTGAGTTGCATCTTAAATTTCTTAAACCATACCGACTCCCATTGTAGTTCCTAGACCCTGAAGCCATGCTATTTGATGTAGAAATAACAGATGTAACAGAGGGACCAGGAAGAGGATTTTGACAGCCAGACGGAGGCTTGTGACGAAATACTATATGAGATTTCTTACTTGATCCTGTGCTTGAACTCCCTACTTCTGTCAGTGTGACTTTACCAGCACTTGAATCTTGTAAATCAGGCTGCAGTACCGTGTTATTCCTATTTACTAAAGGGATGTGTTCTGTAACATCTGGCTCACACCGAACACCACAAGATTCTGCAGAATCATTGTCTAAGTTAGACAAAGATTTCCTAAAAGAATCAGAATCACGTCGTGATTTTCTTCCATTATTAATTGGAAAACAAGTCTCTGGGGAGCTCCTAGTAGTCTGCTTGCCATTTGAAGAATGACAGGAAGGCCTTATATTTTTGGATTTGTCAGCACAATCACTTTGATTACTCTTTCCATATTTAAGTCTTCCATTGCATCCAAGACGATTGCAAAATTCAGCATTTTGATCTCTTTTATCAATGGTATCCCTGGAAACAAGTCTAGATCCTTTTCTGGGGACAACCACCCCAACTCTGTGTCTCTTACCAGAAAACTCATCCATCTTACTTTACTATCTACCCTTATTCCTGTATGAGCAATAACATATTGAAGCAGTCAAGACCTTCATATAGGTTTGACATCTAAATCAACATAAAACCAGCTCTCCCTTACAAGCGAAAAGAGATTATTTTCCAAAAAAAAAAAAAAAGTTGTAGTTGAACAGCATTTAGACAAGTATTAAAACAATTAATCGTGGTTTACCAATGAAAAATATAGCAGCAATTAATTCCAGCAAAGTTAAGCTTCAAATTATCGAGTAACAAGAACTAATGTACTATACAAGTAGATTCCAGATTAAATTCAGGAAGCAAGCATCTCATATAACAAACTGGGAGTAATTACGTACACTCAGAAATTCCTGTTATAATAAACACGAGAAGTCATATTCAATAGAAGGGAAAACAGAATAATAAGCGTGACTCATCTTCAAGAGGGAAGCAACATTGAAACAAAAAAGACAGGCAGAAATGCCAGTGGAGGGAAAAATCCACATAGTATTTTTGCCCAAGAAATCAGCTCAGTCAATGATTTATTGTAGGTCACAAAACATTCTTCGGTATTCATATGCACCTAGAGGAAAGTTCTAGATAAAGAACCCAATCAGACATGAAATGATAATTATCATTAATTAGCTAAATTCTTTTCCTACATTAATAACAATCAAATTACCATAAAGGAGCAGCAAAACTCAACTCATAAACTGCATCCTAGCTGTGGTTTTACTGCCTAATAACTATGGGGAGGGAAGGCCATTCCACATCACTAGGATCAGATAGTAGGGCACAGCATGTAAATGAGGTACGTAAACAACAAGGCAATCCATCTTCCATTAAGGTAAGCCAGAGTTCAGGTACCATAAAGTCTCACTGGAGATCTGTCCTTACTATAGCAACAGGCACAGATTAAAACGACACAGCAACTAACAATACTTACATACAAAACGCAAGAGCTCCTCCAAACTAATTGAAGAGCTTAAACACAAGAAATTCCTGTAGAAAACACGGATATGGAAATCATACAGCAACCTTCAATTTCCTCATACAAATAGATACATGCAGTTTCTGGAAAAAGAGAGTTGCAGTCAAATATCACATAATACACAAACAAAAGTGGCTTATTACAGAATACCACCATTATGATTAATGATCATATGATTATAGACACTCAAATACAAAAGCAAGTCATATAAGAATCAGCATACCACAAATACTGTTCAATAGAATGACGAAACCAGTAAAGGACAGGAATAAAAACGAAAAGAAAAAAAAAATTGAAAAAAAAAAAGGATGGTCAAAGGACAAACTTTCCGCAAAATATGGCATCAAAAGCTCTTGATTATAAACGGAAAAAGGTTCCCACCAATTTACTCCTTAACCAAAGCAAATAAAATTGGCTTCTCCAAAATCATCCTATAACCAACTTATTCGACAGAAAACCAAGAAACCCACATATATTGCATAAAAACATCAACCATCAAATAACAATCAAGACAAAAACCAAACAAAAAAATTCAAACAAACGAAAAATTCATATCTTCATAGGCCAATCTGCAAGTAAACATTACAAACAAATCAATTAACAGAACTAGCTCATAACGATCAATCCATTCCGACTTTATTTGGTGGAAAAGAATAAATTAACAATATCGACTAAGGACTAGATTCTGTTCCCCTTTTCCCGTTTTGTCATCAGAAACCCAAATACAATACAAAATTTCACATACGAACAAAGACAAACGGAGCAAACCCATATCAGAACACCCAATAAAAACCCAATTGTAGCTGCCAAAAAATGGTACCATGTCTTTACTGCTTAATCATCTGAATAAAGAATAACAAACTTTTCGTTCTCTACCTTTCTTGTTGTGATCACTGAACGCTATGGAAGGAGGAGAAGGCCTTTTTGTAGCGTTTAATTAGAGAGAAAGCAAGGGAACAAAGATAGGAAAGAAACGTGTTGAGCATGGAACGATCCGATGTCCGAGGCTGGAGGAAGGCTACTACTACTTCTAACAAGAGAACGAGAAGAAAGAAGTCGTAGTTATAGTATGAGTTAATTGTAATATACCCCTCGAAATATCACAGGCTTGTATTTTATGCCACGAAATCTTAATTCTATACGTATTATGTAAAAGCAATATGACACTTGGTTCAATTGGCAAGGCTAATAGAAGCTCGGATTCAAATTTCACTTCCAATAGTCACTTATTGGTAAGCAATCAAGTAGAAAACAATCAAGAAGAACTTTATTAGTCACTAAAATGCATCAAGTGCTGCCCTGACCTTGGAATCAAACAACCTTCCATCCATCTTAAACAATTACATAAAACAAAAACAAAAAAAAATGTTTGACAAATTTTTGAAGCTTAAAATTTTTGTATTTTTTTTACTTTTCATTTGCAAGATTTAATTTAAGACATTATTAATTTAAAATTTTTGTTGGAAAAGTTGGTAAAACTAGTGTCTTAATTTGAAGTTTTGATTACTTAAAAAAAGAAATCTTGTTGATCAAAGGTGACACATAATTAAGATGGACAAAATAGCATTTAGTACCACATACCACTATTTTTGACAAATTGTTCAAGTCAAATACTTTCATGTTGAAAAGTTTGCTTACCCCTAAATGAATGGAAAATTATAGTAGACAAATCTAGTTGATAGGTACTAAAGTCATTCTCTTATTTTTTTTCTAGCTGATATTAAGAAATGGGATTTGATTCATTTACTGTGGATTCTCTTTTCATTTTTTACAATACACATATAAATGTATGACATGTATCTTCATTTATTAGGATGGGACATGATCATTTTAAATTTAACTAATCCTAACCTCTGTCAATAAATAAAAACACGTGTTATACATCCACCAAATATGCACTGCAAGAAATGGAGAGAGAATCCATTGGAAAGGAGCCAAATTCCTTGAGTAATTTACCATAAATAATAAATTGTTAAAGATAAAAAACCGAGGTAAGATAATTGGTATTTAGGATTACATACAGAAAATAATTGACTTTAAAGGGGGGCGTAGTGCAATTATGAACTCTAATAAGTAGCAATAACTAAAGTGGGAGATGGAGCCAAGCAACCAAAATCATATCCTTAGGGACCTTAACTAAAGCAATAACTAAATAGCCATCCTGCCATTGAGTCTCCCTGGAATAGATGTTGGCCGTTAGGTTAGTTTGACTTAGGATGGGTCAAAGATCTACGGCTACCGGAGGTCTAAAAGATTAATGTCAAGCTAATTTCAATCCGTAGGGGCCCACGAATATATGAAACCTCAAAGGACTACTACCACTTGGTTGAATTTGGACCCGATGGCCCATCACTAAACTGAAAGGAAACATTCGGCCGCCTTTTAAGCTCTACTAACTATTGCAACTGTCGACCTCTCTTGTTTTCTTGGATTTAATAATGTTGAGCAATATCCACACTTTTTTTGTACTTTTTTCAGGTTCCACAATAATTCTTAAATTGGAAATAAAATGTGATAAGACTTGCACTACAGCTAAAAGGCATTTAAATGGTTGCTATTTCTCATTTTTGCACTTGAAGATTCCTAATAAAAAAGTTCGACAAATATGTTTCTCAGCAACACTGTTTTATTAGCATTTTTTGTTTATAAGTGTGCTTGTAGGGGCAAAAGAAAAAAGTGTGTTTGTAGGGAATTGGAATGAAGTAAATTATAAATCCATGAGCTTTTTGAGTTTTGAATAATTTCCTCTGTTTCTTGGAGCCTTGGAGCTATGTCGACTCTACATTGTTCCCCTTGGTAAAATTTCAAGTAACCATAAAAGAATTTCTCTTTCAGATTAGTCTTTTCAACACTATGTATAATATATGCACTAACAGTACTAGACATACGCTACATGTGCAAAGTTTGAAGTTGAAACTAAAATTAAAATTAGTTGTCATGTCCAGTATAGTAGAAAAGATAAAGCAATAATATCAAGAACCTCTCCTCAGGTTTCTCATAATTTCATTTAAGATCTTCAAAATTTTGAAAATACCATTTACCTGCCTCAAGACTAATATACATATCAAATAAATAGATCTCAAAAGATTGAAAAAAAAAAGAAATAAAAATCATTTTCTTCTCTTTCCCCTTTCTCCAACTCTCTCTTGGTCTATTTATTCGGATGATTATGTGATATTTTTGTGATTATGGTAGATTTAGTTGTTTAGTTTCTTTCAGCTTTTTCTTGCTTTTGAACAATAATTGCTCAGTTGCTCCCATCATAAACAATGATTGATTTTTCCTGCACTTTTATTACCTGTTTTCTATGACCATGCATTTCTATTCTGCATACATGCATTTAAAATGATACCGTTATCTTTGCATCTTTTAAATGGTTAGACAACAGTTAATGCTTTCACGCAGATATTTGTACTCTTCATCTTGTCCTCTTGAATATGTCTATTATGGTTGATATTTTGCTATCCCTTCAAAATTTTATGCATATGTACATGCAATCACTTTGAGATTTCTATGCACAAAAACCGTCTATTATAGAAATCCTGTTTTACTACGGCTACTTTTCTAAAAAAACATTTGCTTCAATGCGGTATTCTTCTTGTGGTTTCCCACCGTAATTTTTCCAATGTATAATTTTACTGCCTTTTTTTAAACTTTATCATTCGCCTTTTTGCTTGTTTTCTTTTTACTGATATTTCCTTGATCTTCTATAGTCGTTGCCTTTATTATTACTTTTATTATCTTATGTTGTAGGTATTTACTTAAGTTTTGATGAACACCATTTATTTTTATTTTTTTGTATATGAGCATTGCACACCCATACGTATGAATAGACATAGCATCCATTTATGTTTGCTCAAATTCATCAATTTCTGTTTGTGTAGATTTTCATTGAAATTGTATACTACCATCATTTTATTGGTATATATAAAGAGTCTAGACTTGCTGGTATACAAGAAATTTAACAAAATTATTTTAAGATCGGTCCAACTAGGCTGACATTTTATGCAAATTATACAGAAATTGCATTATAATTCTATAATTGCAATCTATATTTTTAACGAGTATTATGGCTTCGAACTACCTTTGCCATACTCGGTAAAAGTGTAGAACCGATACACTTTTCAGAAAAATGTTCATTTCACATTTAATCTATAATGATTTACATGATAAAAGCATTGTTAACGCATTTAAAGAGATGGTTAGGTTGGGTGGTAAGGTGAGAAGAGTTTTCTGAAAAAAAGTCAATTTATCAATATCCTACAAAACATATTATGTAATATCCATATATCAAAACTTATAATATAAAAAAATAAACTATAACCAATTTATTTTCTTCCATTTTTAGAAAAAAAATCTTTCTCCTATCTTGTGCCCCTAAAATTGTTGACTGCATTTAGATTAGTATTTTTCATAAACTTTAACGTATATTTAAAAAAAAAATCTCCGTAATATGTGTTTTTAGAGTTTTCAAAATTATTAAAAATCACACTATCATTTCCCTCTTCTCTTATACACCATATAGTCATCAAATGCCTTTCATATCTTCTATCATGGTACCACTCTCTCTATTTTTTTTTTTGTCATATCTGTCATATTCCTGCAATCCCCTTTTTTCTTTTGTCCCTTCTTCGCCCATCCTTGTAACCCATATTTTTTCTTCAACCTTTCTTGCTATTTTTCAACTCCTCACCATTTTTTTCCCTCTCTCCTCCTCCTTTATCTAACCTCTAAATTCATATCCCTGCGACCCAATACATTTAACTTTATCTATCATAATGAAAATATAAAATTAAAAATTAATTACAATGGTTGCAATTATTAGTATCTAAAAATGGAAATGAAAAATGGATAATATCTATAATATCCTCAAGTACTACAATCAATATATATATATATATATTTAACATAGCAAATACATATTTACATATGAAGACAGTAATAAGAATACATAAAATAATTAATGAGACCAAAACTTATCCTTAGTGTTTGGGTTTTGCACTTTTATTCAAATCTAATGTCAAGTTTGGGCCAGATATATACAAATTAAGTAGTATTTTAGGGTTGAATGTTCTATATCTTTCTCTTAAACTATAATGTTACTTTTTTTAAAATTTTTGGTAGAATTGGTGTTGTTATTATCATTATTTTTTATCAAAATGAATATTTCAAAAAAAAAATCCACGTTAAAAGGCTAGTAGTACTTTGTTTTTTATTTAGTGATTTCATAATTTGGATTTCATGAATAGTACCATTCTTGATTTTTTAAATCCACAACATTATTTCCTTTTTGTTTTCTATTTAATTTTACCCTTTTACTTAGGATTACTAAGTTAAAAGATAAAATATTATCATTTACTTTTTTAATTTTACTAAGTTTGGCAATATTTTTTTTATTTACCCTCCCGCTAATAAACTTCAAACCAAATTCTTATATAAGCGGAGCCACTACTTTTTAAATTAGAAAGGCATGGAAGTCACTTCTTACTTAAGAAAATGTTATTTGCACTCCATTTTTTATTATTTGCAATTCCACCATTTGTTTGATCATATAGTCTAATTAATGAAAATGATATGATCAAAATGATTATTGAAGTGTGAATAACAAAAATGGAGTGTAAATAATCTTACTTATTTAAATTAATAAGAAAGCATGAAAGGATGTTATATTTGTTATTATCTCTTCTTTTGGTCTTATAGAAGTTTTAATTGTTGTAGAATCATAAATAATGCAAGGCAATCGGAAACGTGATGGGTTGAAATTCAAATAGGATAACATGCACATTAACCAACAATTTGAAATGAAATGATTTTAAAAAGTAACCAACAATTTCAAATGTGAAGA